TATGGCTTCTATACACTGTCATAATTTTTAATTGATTTGATTACAATTAATTACATTTTAACCAAAAAACATATACTGACAAAATAGACAACATTTTCAATTCAAAAACTCTTTTTGTTGCTAAATTATTTAATAAATAGACATATACACTCAACAACAATGCTATTTATTGTTCTAATATGTTATTTGGGTTATTGCTAAAGTACCCATTCATCTCTGAAATGTGTGTCAGGAACAAATGATCATTCATGTAACTTCTTTGAAAAAACTACTTAAAAATAAATATGGAGGCTGATATCAGTCTTCTGGATGTTGGTGCTCATGTTTAGCACTGAGATGCTGTTTCAGACTTGAATAGCTTCAGACAGTCTAACTTCTCTTAGCACACCTTGAATGCATCAGCAGTCTCTTCCTGTATTCCTTGAAGATGTGCGGCTTTATCATACATGCTTGTTATTTCCTCAGGCTCCAAATCATCTCAGCACTTTGTTCGTGAAGTCATGTCCCAAATCAATCATCAGTCTCACAGCTCTCAGGATCAAAGTATCAACATCTGAACATGTCTGGATTTCGTGACTATAGTTCTTCACAGGAAGGATGTAGTTTATTGGAATCCCCAAGCTTGAATGCAAGTGGGAAATCTACATAAAACAAAAAAAACCCATTTGTTTTCTTTTTGAGTCAGTTGTTAAAAGTGATTGAGTTTCTTAAAAGTTCAACTGAAACTCACTTTTTTCTTTAAATATTTGCTCCTGTAGACATTTCTTAAATTTGTCTTGGTATCAATACACGCCTCGTCAATGTTTGTGAGAACAGCCAGTTGAGGAACACCTATGGATACAGAAATGGATCTGTTATTGGAAGAGTGGCATTTATATTAAAGCTGAAGAATAAATGATTGTCAGTAATTCAAGACAAACTCATATCCAGAATCATCATTAAGTCAGGGTGAGATTTGTCATGTCATTATCTCAGCCTGTGGCTCAAGAAGCAAAATGTAGTGAATGCTTTCAGCTCATCTGTGTTGTTGATTATAGTGTCACTAATATTCCTCTTGGCAACAATCTATAGATCACACAAGGAGCTCAGATCAAGACACATTGATAGCCATAATAATATATGGCTATCAATGTGTCGGTGGGCTGAAACTCCGCCACAGAACAACATAAAAATGAAGAACCCACAATGTTTGCCCCCTCCCCTCTGCACGTGCCTGCCGCAACACCTTGTTGAAACAATAATTACTAAGATTATTAATTTTGTTGGGTGTGTCTAGGTGTTGTAGTTTTGGAGCTGGAGCAGTTCTAGTGCAACCCAGATGCAAAAACGTGGTAAAATCAAACTTTATTGATGTCTCACAAATCAGATAAAAGTTTCCCAAATCACAAACATGGTTCTAAATATTCTACTATTAGAGCAGAATAATCTAGTCCAGAAACTGAATCAGATCAGTCTTTTCATAGCAAGACCTATCTACGTCAAATCAGTTTCACCGTGTGTCCAGATGTAGAGCCGGTGCAGCCCAATGGGAAACCCCGACAGGCCCGCGAGGCTTCAGTGTGGCGTTCCAGCTGTAAATTGGTCGACCAACCATAGAAAAAGGCGCCCACAGTCTCACATCCCGGCACACCCAGAAAGGAATGGACTTCATTCTGTCTCGTCTCTATGTCTGTAAATCAGGGGTGTAAATATTAGTAGATCAACATTCTGGATCAGGACTGTTGAGTTGATCATGAGGCCTAATAAACATCTGTCAATAGCTGAACTAAAGTATGATCTGAAAGGGTTTTATGAGTTTATGTAGAAAACTACTTTAAATTGCAGATTGTCAATGTTAGTTTGAAAAGTCTACTGGAGATATGAATCAACAGATTGTCAGTACCAAACCTACAGCAGTAAGCAGCACTGTTTTCCAACACTGTATGAAATGAATTTCTAAGGTATGAAAAGGTGAAGAAGTGAAATGATTCAACTCTAATGCAAAGCTTGATGCTAAATTAATGGATTGTAACAATAGCAGCCATCTAGATGAATAGGATGAAAGTATTTGCTGCATATTGTGTTCAACTGCTTGGCCTTTTTATTTTCTTGATTGTGTTTGCTGTAGTGTAGGTGTACATGTACATATTTGTTTGTTTGGGGGGGAAAGCATCATATTTAACAAACCACATAAAAAGGTATGTAACAAACAGGTAATGTCTGGGCTTTTACTGAAAAAATTGGTTTTGAAGAATCGACTTTGCTTCAGTTGGGAGGATTAGAAAATATGAACAGAAAATCCTGCAACTTAAACAGGTTTTTTTTGTGGATCCCCGATAATCGTATTTACTTGTGTGGTTATCTTTTAATAAAAATCATGTCAAATCATTCAATTAAAATTGCAGTATGTAGCTTTTATATGTTTTTGTCTTTTAATATTTGTTTTCTGTCGCTATGTCGTGTAAGTACCCCCCTGCGTAAGAATATCAAAATGACATTTAAATGTTTAAACCATTTACTATTATTCTGACACTTTATTACTCATTTAATTAAAACCTTGAGTATAAAACTGGCTAATTGGTTTGAAAAGATTGGGAATTTGTTGTAAAGTAAAAACATAAT